GACCACACTCGAGGGGCCAGAATTTTCGACCAGACTCGTGGGCCAGAATTTTCGCCTAGACTCGAGGGCCAGAATTCATCAAGCATTTACGCAACCAGCGCATCGTTCCTCATTCGTTTACATTTATTCAAGTCTATGACCTTCGAAGCACTACAATGTTGTTTATAACAACAATAACCTTGAATTGTTAAGTTTCAAATTTCGTAAACTGTTTAAGAGCTGTAAACAAAGCCGCCATGATTGAGGAAAGATGTACAGGTTTCCTAAGAGGTTGCGTAAATGCTTTATGAATCCTGGAGCTGACTGCGTATTGCGCACTTCACATGAATGGGGGACCGACAGTTTACTCACTTTGCGGGGAGTACTTCACATGAATGGACAAGATGATTCACTCTCCCAAACCCTTTCCCATTCAACACATTTATTTACCGTGACAACAAGGATCTCGCCACGCATTCATTCATGAATGAGAAGGTTCTATCAGAAGGTCATCAAAGAGGATATATAGCCTACGATGTTGGGATGAGGTGCCAGAAAATGAGATGAACGAATGAGGATCTACGAAGAAATGATAACGGACCCATGAATTACCCACAAAGCACCTATCAGTCAAATTACCCAAAATGAAACAGGAGCCAGAGCTACAAACATTCATTGTTGTAACATCTTCACCCCCCCCCTCCCCGAGCGTTCAGAAACCAACATTTTCTGTTACACCTTCACACACCGACAGCTAACAATCGTCTTTACGGGCTCACCATAGCCCGTGCTACATGGACACTTCGTTCTAAGTAGCAAAATCTAAAACAACAACAGCTATTAAATTAATCACCATTGTACATAAATTTAAATTTTGACCCGAGGGGCGAGTTTATTGGGCAGCGTCACTCATCTTGTGAGTGGACATACCGCCATAGCAGAATGTACAACACTCCCCAATAGGAAGAAAACCCGCTGGGTTGTTCATTCTTGTTCATTACAAAAACGTTTTCATTACAGCACCCTATGTAGTGGTTAATTCCCTTACCATTTGCCTTATAAACGAGAACGACTCAGTGGGATGACAGCATCGCTGTTCGCCCTTGTGCGCCTAGCGGTTATAAGGGACTTAGTTTTCCTACTCCCTAAGCCCGGCCTGGGGCCAGGCTCGACTTCTGATAAGCTGCTCCAACAGGCTGTTGCTTTGAGTGGCCCGCAAGCCCACATATCTGAATTCAAATTCTGTCCCGAGGGACGAGTTTATTGGGCAGCGCCACTCATCATGTGAGTGGACACACCGCCATAGCAGCATGTCAGCGCCACTCATCATGTGAGTGGACACACCGCCATAGCAGCATGTACAACACTCCGCAAAAGGAAGAAAACCCACCTGGTTGTTCATCCTGTACCCACCCACATATCCACTACAGCCTGGTTGGCCCGGAAAAATTGAATTCGTCTCTTTCTGCAGCTAATCTTTCCTCGCGACATTCCAACTAGCCAACATGGCGTATTGATATCCCCGCCCTCATTGAGGACATGGGGGGGGTTAATCGGTGACGTCATAGTTCACCCTCAATGACATCATAGTTCATCCAGAGTGACGTCATAGTTTGTCCTTTGTGATGTCTCTCATGATTTCCTTGAACCATTACTTCGGGGAAGCTGCATGATGGCATGTAGGCGTTTCATATAACGTTATCTTAACTGGTGCGGTTTTCTCTGCCGGTCCGCGGGGACATAGAGTCCCGAAATCAAGGCAAAGTAACCGCAAGGAAACTTCTATTGACGGCAGCAGATAGTGCTCTTTTTCCTATTTAATTCACATTAAACAAACACACACACCTGTTCCATGCCGAGAGTGCTTGAGAATCGGGTAAAACTGGTTAGAAACTCTGATAGCTTGCCGGCGCTTGACATTCCCTTGTGGATTTTCCAAGTTACAATTATTTTGTAGCGTGGCTGGCTACGTGACGCACTACTGATTACTAGGCTGCGGGTTCTAGCCCCAAGTGGAACTTTGTATTACTTTTCACATCGGATTTCACTGACAGTGTTCGATTAAAAGTAACGTTATCACATTTGTTTATATATATATATATATATATATATATATATATATATATATATATATATATATATATATATATATATATATATATATATATATATATATATATATATATATATATATATATATATATATATATATTAGACCTATTTATCTATTCGTGATTATCTTCGTAAATATAAGCAGCTGATTTCTTAAGATATAGCATTTCATTTCTTAAAACATGAAAATGCAAAGCAAGAATGAGGCCTAACAGGCCGGCAAATGCCCTCATTTCATTCTGCGAGGGGACACGCCCCCCACCTCCCAATATGTTACCCACTCCATCACCCACTCCAGTATCCTCCATGTCCATGGAGGACAGAAGAAAATGTATATATGCTAGTTAGCATTGTAAATGTGTGGCCACGTCTGTGGTAGAAAAAAAAAAACTTCACACTACATTCATCCCAAACCTATCAAGCTTTGATCGGCGCCTCCCACCTTCAATCACCGGGAAGAGATGAAATTTCAGAACAACTAATTCGTTTGGTTACAATTCCTCAACCCCGATCCGTTATCTTTTGTATATTAAAGCCTCAAACTTCACTATTAAATATAACATGTGATATTTCCCTCGTTAATCTGTAAATACTCATTACAATGTTACTTTTCAGGTTAATTACGGCAGGAGCGAAGTAGTTAGTAGTTTACCAAATATTATATCCGTTCCAACGGACAACCGAAAAATCGATGCACTAAATCTACTTCATTTTTCAGGGGGGCAAATTGCGAGAATAAGATAAAACATACAAATTCACACGACGAGGCATTTGAGAACGTTTCCTTACACCAGATGCCTCTGTTCACCTACTAGTAAATAGGTGCCTGGGGTGTACTCACCTAATAAAGGTGAGTAAGCGTGTGAAGGTGTGAATAAAGGTGTGAAGCGACTGTTTGGGGTCAGCTGTAGTCAAAGGCTTTTTTTGGGGGGGTTGCGGGGTTAACCTCGATAACCCTAATAGGCTTCCTGGCCCCAACAATGGGAGCCAAAAGGCGTACATATACACTCAAACACCTTATCAAGCATTGGCGATAGCAAGAGGGTGGGCTGTTGTAGAAAAGGATATCAGCATTGAGGGCCAGATATGCAAGATAACGTCGCAATGGAGGAGAGGCAATGGCCCTGGTGGGGGGGGGAGGAGAGGCAATGGCCCTGGGGGGCAGTCGTGAGTGAAAGTAACCCTGGGGAATCTCCCCAGGCAGAAAAAGGCAGTAAGGCAGAAAAAAACAGCCCTGGGGGAGGAGAGTAAGGGAGAGACAGCGGCCCTGGGGGAAGAGAGTAAGGGAGAGACAGCAGCCCCTGGGGGAGGAGTGTAAGGGAGAGACAGCAGCCCTGGGGGAGGAGAGTAAGGGAGAGACAGCAGCCCTGGGGGAAGAGAGTAAGGGAGAGACAGCAGCCCCTGGGGGAGGAGAGTAAGGGAGAGACAGCAGCCCCTGGGGGAGGAGAGTAAGGGAGAGACAGCAGCCCCTGGGGGAGGAGAGTAAGGGAGAGACAGCAGCCCCTGAGGGAGGAGAGTAAGGGAGAGACATCACCCCTGAGGGAGGAGAGAGTAAGGGAGAGACATCACCCCTGAGGGAGGAGAGAGTAAGGGAGACAGCACCCCTGAGGGAGGAGAGAGTAAGGGAGAGACAGCACCCCTGAGGGAGGAGAGAGTAAGGGAGAGACAGCACCCCTGAGGGAGGAGAGAGTAAGGGAGAGACAGCACCCCTGAGGGAGGAGAGAGTAAGGGAGAGACAGCACCCCTGAGGGAGGAGAGAGTAAGGGAGAGACAGCAGCCCTGAGGGAGGAGAGAGTAAGGGAGAGACAGCAGCCCTGAGGGAGGAGAGAGTAAGGGAGAGACAGCAGCCCTGAGGGAGGAGAGAGTAAGGGAGAGACAGCAGCCCTGAGGGAGGAGAGAGTAAGGGAGAGACAGCAGCTCTGAGGGAGGAGAGAGTAAGGGAGAGACAGCAGCCCTGAGGGAGGAGAGAGTAAGGGAGAGACAGCAGCCCTGAGGGAGGAGAGAGTAAGGGAGAGACAGCACCCCTGAGGGAGGAGAGAGTAAGGGAGAGACAGCACCCCTGAGGGAGGAGAGAGTAAGGGAGAGACAGCACCCCTGAGGGAGGAGAGAGTAAGGGAGAGACAGCACCCCTGAGGGAGGAGAGAGTAAGGGAGAGACAGCAGCCCCTGGGAGGAGAGAGTAAGGGAGAGACAGCAGCCCTGAGGGAGGAGAGTAAGGGAGACAGCAGCCCTGGGGGAGGAGAGTAAGGGAGAGACAGCAGCCCTGGGGGAGGAGAGGAAGGGGAGACACAGTAAGGGGGAGAGAGCAGCCCTGAGGGAGGAGAGTAAGGTAGAGACACCAGCCCCTGGAGGAGGAGATTAGAAGAAACAGCAACTTTGCAAAGGATGATTAGAGCACCAGGACTTGACGTTCCGAATATCGAACAGAATGCCCAAGAGGATTAGTGGAGTGTTGGCGTGGGGGAGTGCGTCCTGCACCAGGCCTGGCCCCGAGCCTATCTCTCTTTAAAACTCTTTTTTTTTTAGAAAAGAGAGAGAGACGTTCGTCCACCTATACAAGGCCAGTACGGCCTTGTGGATATACAAGTGAAAACTTGCATGACTGATCTTCTCTGGGCTACCTGACCCAGCATGGTACGTGCTGACCCTAACATGGCGTGTTTCTACAAATTTATCGAATGCCCAGCGGCAGTGAGGTGATATAGAAGGGATGGGTACGGTGACAGGTATGTTATGAACCTTCAGTAGCATAAATGTGTCGGTTTAGATGAGTTTTAAGGAGGGTTGTGAGTGCTGTGGGGGAGGAGGAGGGCGTCCCAACTTGGGTCTGTAAGCGACCGTTGTGTTGCGGGAGGTTCAGATTCCTCCTGACAGCTCTACAACACCCTCGATTAAAGCCTTCATTCTTACCTTAATGATGAGCTCCACCTCCGGGACGGAGCCGTTCTCCTGACCGTTGGTTTCCTCTGACATAATGGCAACGGGATGGAATAATAAGGTACCAGACGAGCTCGGACCAAGTACACTCCTCACTCAACTAGCGCCAACCTGACACTGAGAGATACTATGGCAACTTCCAGCACCGCCGGTTGCTACCTACCGCTTGGGAAATTATTGCTCAACGCGCCTGGTGTGTTCCCAGTTGCGTTTAGCGTCGATAGCGCGTGTGTATCGGTATTGTGAACGCAAAACTGGTTTGCGAAAATATAAGTTCGGTTGGGTTTGTTAGTACAAGTCGAATAATGGAAAGACCGCCCATAGCGGCGCATGCGCACAAGGATCAGCCGCCGAGCTGATGTGTCAGATGTTGAATAACTCTGCATCTCTTCCCTACACCCTACTGCGACTAGAAACTAATATGACAACAAACGACCAAAAATCCCATGGAATTATTCGAGGCATTCAAACGGCAACAACTACAAATTCGTGATTAGAAAGATTTTCTCCCTGGGCCGCCCAAGAGGGAATTGACAATGAGTTCTAACAGAGGGGCGGAAAGCATCGTACACATGGGCGGTCGACGCGGGCCATGTGGTCCCCCGGACGACCATGTGGGGAGACACCAGAGAAAGTATGTTGACCAGACCACACAATAGAAGGTGAAGGGACGACGACGTTTCGGTCCGTCCTGGACCATTCTCACAATCGACTTGAGAATGGTCCAGGAGGGACCAAAACGTCGCCGTCCCTTCACCTTCTAGTGTGTGGTCTGGGCAACATACTTTAGCCAAGTTATTGTGACTCATCGCCTGCACGCCAGAGAAAGTGAATACACTCCAAAACACATTCATTTTTACCGAGTTTACCCCGAAGGGTGAATGCATTGGGCAGTGTCACTCAACCTGTGAATGAACATACTGCCACATCACTATGTACAACAAACACCACCCCACTAGAAAGTAAACTCATTGGATTATTCATCCTGTCACTGATCTCAGTAGCATAGTAGTCTACGTCCTTGACTCTCAACAGAGGGGACTCGGGTTCAATCTTTGGGTAGGACAAAAATGGTTGGGATGTTTTCTTTCACCTAATGGCACTGTTCACCAGTCAGTAAAATTGGTACCCGGAAGGGAGGTAATTGTTGTGGGTTGAATCCTAGGAAAGATCACGTTGTGTTCAAACCTCAATATGCAGGCTTCCTGTCCCCTATAACAGGAATTAAGGAAGAACTCACTTATCTCCTCTTATTACCAACCTTATCATTTCTCGGGTCAAGGCTGAAAAGTTATATTTAAATATGCGAAAAAATGTTTCCTGTTTTGCAATTTGCAAACAATGTTGAAGCTTTCTACGTTTTCAACACAGGTAAGCAAGATGATTTTATGCAGACTAATTTTTCAATCAATTGACGAGAACTTGATGGGTATAATGATATGTTATTATTAACATCTTTACTGACAAAATTAATGAAAAAAATTGCCTGTGTTGTTTAAGATTCGCTACCTGGAGCAAAAAGTTCCAAGTAGCACGGGCTATGGTGAGCCCGTAATAAAAAATTGCCTAATCTGAGTAATTCAGTTATAGGTGTTAATACTTGAATCATTACAGTGTGGAGGATGCCGGTATTCACTGTCATACAGCACAGGGCAGAGGATCATACAATATTCTTCATTCTTTAAAAGATGAGCAAATTTCGGATAAATGGTTAGGATCTCTTCCGATATACAAGAATTAATGAAGTAGTTATACAGTAGATTATTCTATAATACAGTTTCACATTCATTAATGTATTGTCCAAGTGACTGCCTTAACGATTAGTTATAGTGTTTACAAGCAGAATATTGTGGCAGTGGTTCAGCCTCACTAACCTGCCAGATGGGCCTATAGCCATGGAGAATTCGTGATTAATGATTAAATCATTAATCGTGAATAATGATTAAATCACATTACCTAGTCATAAAAGTATGTGTGTGTATGTCTGATATCATACTACTTGTGTAAAGGGAGAAATGTCTATGTTTATCTCTCTGAATGTTCGGTAATATGTTTATTGTTTGTGATGTGTGTCTGTATATGTATGAACACGATGTACTGAACGGGGTGAGAATAGCTTGAGCTACCTCATCCCTTTGTGTGTATTTTACCTCAATTAACTTAATTCAATTTCAATTTCAATTACATCACATTGTCTGGTCGACTACATCGACCATACACTTATTATTACAACACTTGTCATAGCTTTTAAGATCTTTGGGCATTTTTGAGTTCTTCTAAATTTGAAGTAATTTCTTTAATTTGTGTGTCCTTAACAATTGCATTAATAAAGTTCCAAGTGACAATCCGTGTTTTCTTTCCTGCAAGCCTCATTGGCCAATCGATCTACAAAGCATCATGCTTTCCAACCAATTACATGGACTGGGATCCGCACACATTTTCTACCAGTTATTATCATTGGCAAAAATCACATTCCATTTAATATTACAAGTTACTTCAGACATTAATTGTGATGATTTATTTAATGACTGAAGAGAGAGAGAGAAAATCTTTTAGAGATACAAAATATCACTCCGCCGCCATTGAGTGTGTGTATGTATATATATACTAGTGCATATATTTCATAATAATTGCATGCGCACCAGCGTAAGGTCAATAGCAGCGTGACGAACATTTCCTAACATAAATTACCAAACATGGATCGATGGGGCCAACACTGTTGACACGAAGATATTAGTCACCACATGTGTCAGCCTCCAGATCCACGATAACGGTTGATAGACTGAATATGGATACCACCGTATCAGAAATTAATATTCACAAGTGTGGTGAAGAGATGGGAGTGTCAGCTGATGAGAATACCTTCGGCGTCAGCTGTTGGGATGACCTTGGGGGCGTCAGCTGATGGGCTGAAGTACCTAAAATACCATTACGTCCATCCTAGAAGACAAACGATACCAATCTTCCATTTTTTTCGGAACTTATCAAAGTAAAGCTCAAGGGAATTAGTGATTAAATCATTTTTAATTATACAATACCCTATTCACATTAAAATTAAATCACTTTGCATAAAACAATAAAGAATTAGTGCTGAGCTCATTTCATACATCAGTTATAATTTAATGAATTCTTGCCATAATAACATTGCATAATGGTTAAGATCAAGGTTAATTACAGGGCAATTTAGATCTAAATTGCAGACGTAACTGTTAACTGTGTGTGTTGCAACCCCTGGAGGTGCAAGGAATGCAGATGCAATTGTTTACAAACAAGGCATCTGATTGTGGCCTGACACTGTTCATGTGTTTGCAGTGGCCAGGATTCATCCAACGTTTACCTGCAGCCCTTACAAAACCTGCTCATCTTTACTTAATCATGGCGGCTTTGTTTGCATTTATTAAACAGTTTATATAAGCTCCGAAGCACTACGAGGTTGTTTATAACAATAATAACCTTGGGTTGTGAAGTTTCGAAGCTTGTAAACTGTTTAATATAGTCACATAATTCCCCAGCATAGTAGAGGAAACTGCATGTTCCTTTTCACCATTGTTTATCACTCTGCATACTATGTATTATGATCGGTATGGAGTTCAACCCAGATGAATGTCTGGACACCACCTGTACACCCTCCACGCAGCCCGAGAGCCCCAGGCAGGTGGCGGCTGCAAGACCTTCCAGTTCCGTGTTACGTTTAGGTAACCACCTGTTACACCACTTGCTCATTGTTAGAAGCCTCGGTGACAAAGGATGTGACATCACCATCAGGGGTGTAAATACCATGACCTTGGTCACCTCGGCAATCTCATCACGTGCTCAGGGAATTAATACTACAGCCTCCACAGGTCACATGCCTCCCGCTTCTTCGTATGCAGGTTTTAAGTGTTTTTATGTAAATAAGTTAAGTGTCACCCTTATTTTGGTGTTAACGCAAGTTTTTATATAATATATTTCTCTGATTATTATTTCTCGTGTGTGCTAACCAAGTATGTCAACTCAGGATGTTGTATATTTTTCATATATTATTTGTTCATTTTGATATTAGAGTAAAGAGTCATGGTTTTTTTGCTTGAGTATTCCTTCAATCCTGTGCACTTTTCACACTGCAAAGGTCAATGCAGCATTTTTTTTTTTTAATGTGAAATGCATGCCACACTCCATCTGCCCAGTACAGCCGCACTACTGAGTCACGTCACATTAAATGAGGGCCTGTCCAGGAGAACAGAACAGAACTCCTTTCCAAACAACAATGTCTAGGGGTATGATTCTTGCTTCCCTTACGAGAAGTCCCGGGTTCCACTCCCGGACAGGCCCCCATTTAATGTGACGTCACTCAGTAGTGTGGCTATATCGGGCAGATGGAATGTGGCATGCACTTTGCGTTAACAATAACAAAATGCTGCATTTGCCTTTGCAGTGTGAAAATTGCACAGGAGTGAAGGAATATTCAAGCAAAAATTATGACTACTCTAATATCAAAATGAACAAATAACATGGAAAAATGTACAACACCCTGAGTTGGCATATTTGGCTAGCATACATGAAAAATAATTATTATATATATATATATATATATATATATATATATATATATATATATATATATATATATATATATATATATATATATATATATAATTCCCCAGCATAGTAGCATTCCAAAAAACCCAGTATATAGGCAAGACAACAACATCTCTTTCTAGGCGTTTAACGATGCATAAGCAACAGGGCTCCATTAAGGAACATACAATCTCTTCCCACAACCAAACCATCGCCAGAGAAATCCTAGTAAACAACACAGAAATCATCGATAGATACAGCGATAGCAGACGGCTTGACGTTTGCGAGGCACTACACATTAAAAAGTCAACACCAGCAATCAACAGCCAATTAATGCACAACTATATTCTACCCACCTCAAGACTCCGCTCCAATATAGAAGCATCAAGAAATATGGACCAATAAGCTTTCTACAATCACTTCCATTCAATACCCATTGTTTCGTGTTCTGTCTTGTGTTGATGAATTTAATACCCTATTAATACCACCTCACCCCATCCACCTCACTCAAAAAAAAAAAAAAAAAAATATATATATATATATATATATATATATATATATATATATATATATATAT